AGGGAGGGAAAAGAGGGGGGAGGGGGCCAACGCGGTAAAAAATAAATAAAACAGATAAAGGGTAGGTCTTCCCGTCCGCGCTAGCCCCCCGCCTCAGGCTGACGAAAGAAAAATGTCACACCGGCCGCGGTGCCATTCCCCTTAACCCTGGGCCCGGCCCGTGCTGAGGCTGCGGAGGAGAGGGGAGGCAACGGCTGCGCCGCCAGGACTGCGTCAAAGTCGGGGTGCGCGCGCGGCCGCCAGACAGAGCCACGCCGAGTGGCCCAGCAGCCGCCGCGCGACGCCGCCGTGCAAGCACCCGCGTCAGCACCATACCGGCGAGAACCGATAGAGGACCGTGATCGTGCGGAGCGGGCCGGCAGCGACCGGAAGCCGGAGGGGCGCACCCCGTCCGCGGGGAGACGCATAAGGAGAAGGGACTCCACCGCCCCGACGGGCGTGCCGCCGGGAGACCCGGAGCGGACGTCGCCGACCAGGGTGGCATGCCGGCAACCTCGACAAGGATATGACAATCACGACAGGTGAGCTCGCCAGGCGCAGCAGCCTGATCTCGGAGGAAGGGCAGAGCAGGCGGCTTCTTCCAGGTTAGGCCGCCGCGGAGCGCGGCCACACATGCGGTGCGAATAAGCGGGCTGCGACAAATCATCTTTACATTTTGGTGGTACGGAGAGATGCATCTCACCTGCCGGGGGTGTGACTTGAAGCTGCTACCTTCCATGACCGCTCTGCGCGTACAGGCACGTCCACGTGCAAGGTGTGGCGGGGCGGGGCAGCTCTGTAGGGCGTACGGACTGCGCTTCGCCCCGTCCGCTACCGCCGCCGCCGCCACCAACCGATGCCAAGTTTATCTCCACCCGGTTTAAAGTGGCCGCCAGTACCGCCAACAATCGGTGCTCGCGAGGTTCGAAGCATTTACTGCCACCTGCCAATGTGGAAAAGAAATAATTCATAGAAACGAAAAAATCAACAGAGGCAGAAAACAGAAGAGCGGTTCTCTTTTCGCTCGAACGTAAAAATAGCGGGTATATTTAAAAACTCGCATGCTTCAGACTCATTAGGGTCCACTCGCAAACGGCGCCGTTTAATGCCGGCCAGTAAATCCCCCCCCCCCCCCACCCCGTCCCAGCTTCTACAAACGGCACCAAGAGTAACCGCGCCGCGGATTAAAATCCTCGCGCGCTTTCCTCCGCCGCGGCGGCAGCCCCGCCACTCTGCCAATGTCGCTAAAGCGGCCTTCCCTGTCGACGTGCGGCATGACGCCGGATTGACAGGAATGGCGTGAAGGCTGAGCTGCCCGTCGCGAGCCTCGCACCCTCGCAGGTGTTAGTCGCGGGGTGAGCTCGGCCCGGCGCCTACGACAAGGGGTGCATTCAAAAGGCCCGCAAACTTGATCCAGGAAGCAAAAGAATACGCGGGTAACTACAATAAATTTTCAGGAAACGTAAAATATACCGTTTTACGCTTCGAATTAAAAAAAAAATAAAAAAAACTCTAATTTTACATTCTTATTCTTTGAAGAGTGCTTGATAGAATGGCGAGGGTAAGATGTTTTATGTCAACACTATTTAGGTTTTAAAAAGACAGGTTTCGTAAAAATTTGCGTTAAGTGAGACGATTTGAGTTACCCCTAATAAATTAATGGACTGTAGAGACCAGTCCTCCCATTCAATACAATAAGACTCATCTCAACTTTTAAATATCTCCTTAATGATAAAGCAATCATAGAGGTGCTAACATTTGAGCGTCCGGGCGAATTTTTTTTCTATGTGTAGAGGCCAAAAAGATGAAGTCAACTTGACTCATTTTTCATTCTGTCATATCTCATGACAACTGTGCACTGTAAAAAATATCGTCGTAAATTTTTTAAAAAAAACTGTAAACTCGAATTATTATTCAAGTTGTAAATTTAGGGGAGCACATTTTTTGCTCGCCAATGTATTTTAAGTCGATACGTACTGCATGTATTTTTACGATTACAAATTGTTATTTTACAACTTGTGTCAAGGAAAATTTTCCTGTTAACCTGCTTACTATTTTTCACAGTGTGGTACGTGGGCAAACAGTTTTATCTTCCGGAAAATACACCTTTTGTACTGTACATTAACGGCCTCTAAAAATCTCAGTTAGGGGTTAAGTCAATGGATCAATTTAGAGTTGTCGCAACTATGTTGGTGTACCTAAAGGCTGCAATGTGATTCGCAGTCGCAGTATATCCTGTGGGCTCTGATGTGTCACTAATACTTCCACGATGAGGCACGCAGAAAAGAAAATTCATTGAAGTTCTCTCTCTGCCAATTCATGAAACAATTTTACTTGCAATTTTCTTGTGACTTGTAGGTGCAAAACAATACTGCCTTGGGTGACACTGACCTAAATTATCCGATAAATATGGAGTGTGACAAAAAATTTGAAACAAACTGACATTAAAAAAGAAAGAAAAAACCTTTTTTGTGCAAATCAAATTTTAGTAAATCATTTTTGGGGGGCTGAATACGATTTGTCGGTAAAAGAAACAGAACAACAAGTTTGAAGAATGTTGCCAAACGACTTGCTGCCTGTTACTGGACGTTGTCTCGACTTACCTCGCAGATACGACAAACAGTCCCCGCGCACAGCCTGTTTCTGTATAGCCTACGGCACACCGGGGGAGGGGAATGACCCCTCGTCTATTCGGATCCAGATGCACATTCACCATGCGGTGAAGATGACATCGCACTCACACACACACACGTATATTGGCAGTGTGCGTTAATCGTTGGCTCCTCACACACACACACACACACACACATACATACACACACGGCGGCTAACTTGATGCACCGCTGGGTGGTAGGGCAGGTCAGTGGGCCGCCGCCCGACGACACGACACGGCGCGACAAGAAGACACAGACACGGCACGACGCGGTCCTCCTGGCCCCGCACGCCCTCCTCAGTGATCTGCAGGCCGCGATGCTCAGCGTGCTGTGCTGTGCACTCGACCAGGGGAGATGTAAGTCCGCAGCGCGCAGCTATTTTCGATTACTTAATACGGAGGCTTAATGCCCGCGTCGTATGCGACGCGCCGCCGCCGCACGCGGCACGACCTCAGCGAACACGTCCCGTAGAAGTAGGATTTTAATAGTGGGGCTAATCGAAATATGGTAAGCCTTTAAGTGCCCAGTGTGATTAACTTGATTAGTTTCAGCAATTGAAAAAGTTTTTGATTTTCCGTGTGATACTGTGACTGCAAAGAACCCGAAGTAGGCCACTAATGACTAGATACAGGGACGTAAGTCCATTTGAGCAAATATTTCAGGGTGCAATGTTAAAGGTCTACAAAGCATTGTTTAGCATCCCACAAAAAAAAAATGGCAGCATCGATGCTACGTACGTACGAAAGAGTGCTATGTAATTACAAAGAAATCTCGCTTTGTATTATATTGCATTCGTTTTCTTAGTCATACAAAGCATTGCATTGTAGACTTCGCTATAGTATGGTCAAAATGTCTTATCTAGTGTGTCAATTACACTATTACTTGGACCACTCTTCTATTACGTTCTTTCTTTCCTTTATCTAGTTTAAGAGATGCCGCACCTTTCTCAGATTATAACTTACGTCCACAGGTGGAGCTTGATAGAGTAACGAAAGTCCAGATGTAACTTTACAGGGGAACGTAACAAGACATAAGATAAACATAATTACAGGTGAAGCTTTGCGAAGGGACTTCTTAGTCTAAAAAATGCACTTGTCTCTGGAATAGTAGTGAGTTTCTAGGAAGACGTAAGGCGTAAGTAAACATTATATAAATGGCGAATCACCACTTCAACAGGCTAAATGCAATTAAGAGACTCCTGGAGTGGCAATTGTTGTCGTGGAGCACGGAGCACTTACAGTATGTAAACCTTTTTTGAAGACTGAAGAAGTCCCTTTTCTAAGCTTCTCCCGCTTCTCCAAGACTCACTTTGTTTGTCAAATCTATTACGAAGGCTGACGTTTCTATGTGAAGCAACACATGGACTTACTTTGTTCCCTCAAATTATGCTTGGACTTACGATTTTTGTCAAACTCTTGGAACGGACTCACCGTGTTTTGACCGGCTCATTAATTGATTTACATTCCCCTGTCAGAACACTAATGGACTTCCGTCTGTTTGGCACTTTTGAAACCGTTTTAGATATGAAGAAAAACATGCCTTATAATCTGGCACAATTCTTATGTGTTAGGTATTTCTTTCCCACTCCGAGTGTGCGACATGTAAGTTGTGACCTACATGCTGTGCATTATTTGTCATTATACGTACACAATTATGTTAAAACAGCACTATTGCGCTTGATTTACAACAAGCCTGGGTGTACGAGTTCATAAGAAAGTGACCCCCCCCCC